TGCACCGAACAGCTTTGGATAAAGATTTATATTAAGTATCTATGTATGTTTACAATTCTTAAAATTTGAATAAACAAAATAGCGATATGAGAAGGAACGCTGTTGCAAATAACATTGGAGCTTAAAGAAGTTGTTTTACTTTAACATTGCTTTGTATTTGGTTTCTTATATATATTTAATTCTGATGATGTAACCCCCGTGTTTCTGGAAGAGCTCTCCTGAGTTCTTTTATCGGCAATTAATATGATTTCCAGTACCATTAAACATATTACAACCAAAATTTCTATACCATAAGAAACATTCCAGTTTTATTTCAGTTCATTTCTATATTACTAAAGTTTTCGTTCTTTAGTTCCTCATTTGTATCGCTTTTATAGCTTTGATTTAACATTTTAACGCGATAGTGGAATTTCTCAGCGAATTTAATTTTATTGTTTCACAGTATTTTGTTGTCTACTTCTAGTAAAAGTCAGCGAAGCTAATCAAATAGTTTTATTCAATATTATTTCTCTATTATCGCAATTCCACGATAGTTTTTCTTCATATGCATTTAACATCATTCAAAATATTAAGCTTTGCATTATTGATTAGTTTTAGTACAATTTGTACTTCATTTTAAATCTTTTAAAATTGATTCTTTTTCATATTTGTATTTTTTAATTAATTCGTTTTCAGTTTCAAATGCTAGATTATTTTCATTTGGTAGCGGAGTTAAAAGTTTTAAATTTGTTGATATATAACTTCTTGGAATATTTATGGCTACAATAATTAACTAAGTTTTATAAGATAATACTCCTATTTTGGACAATTTTGATTTATAAAAATCTATGATAAAAAAAGATGATTTCTTCCTTAATTGCTGGATGAATTAACTTATATTTTCCAGAGCCGTAGCTATATTAGTTTGTGTGTCATTAATTTTACCCTCGAAATATTTTAACTTACTTACCAAATCATTAAAAAACAATTGATTTATTATATCGTAATTTATTTATTTACAGCTTGATTAATATTAAGATTATTTTTTGTTGAACTTCTAAATATCTCAAAATTTACTGTCTGTCATCGCTGCCCATTAGCCCAAACATCCAATTGTAAGATTTTCCTATTATTGTACATTTATCAGTTCTCTCTTATTTCTTTGAAAATTTTCAGGGCGAATTGTATTTATTTTAAAAATCTCTACTTCATTTAATAACAGTTCATTACCTTTAATTTCACTAACTTTCTATCTTTTTTATACTGATTTATTAATTCTAAAAATTTCAATGCCTGCACATTCTGAGTTCCTTGTAATAATCTTTGGCTCTACTTCTGTCAAAAACAGTTACGAAAGATAGCTATTTGGGACTTAACTTTTGCAATTTCATAAAATTTTTTATTATAATTGAATGTGTTCTGTTAATTTAGGGTAAAGCAATGTATCTTTTAACGTGCTGTATTTTGCGTCAATACCACGAAGCATTTATTCAGCGAAGAGGTATAGTTATATTTGTATTATAATTTGGACTTTATATTTATTGACAATGTCTTCTTTTATAGCAAGATGCTCTAATAGTTCTTTATCTGCGGAATGTATTGTGTCAGACATTTCCAAATTTGACTCTTCATCGTTTCCTTCTAATGGCAAATGGATAAGGTCCAATCAGTTTGTTAAGGCAGGCTTTGGTATCAAAGAACCTTATATGTGATATTGAGGAGGCCACGATAACTGACGAAGCCTGAGGGATCGTAATTTTTCCATCGGCCTCCCTTTTGTTGTTTTTCAATATGACGATTGCTTTACGAACTTTTCTTAGTCGTTAGGAGAGTTGCGTTTCCCATTGTACTGCATGTGCCAAAAAGACTCCACCACTAATCCACCTCGGTAAGGTGCAACAGTTGGAATCATCTTAAAGTCGGCTAAGACCTTAAGACCCACAGGAAAGGTCCGCAAGTTGCGTAGCCTCATGCTGCCAGTGCCCGAGCGCGCCCTTAGCCTACACGGATGTGCCTTCAGCACCTCTACCCACAACTAGCTCTTCGTGCCAGGGCTTCCCAGCGGCTTCTTCTCCCCCGAATAATCTGTTTCGTGAGTCAAACTATAGTATGTCGGAACACGTCCTCAGATAGAGGCAACTCTTGCTCTGGCTGGTGCCATTTTCGGCGAGACTGGTATGCGTAAGCTACATCATGCTGCGGGTAGAACAGCAACACTACATCCACACATCACTCCCTCACCCCCCGTATCATGAACATCCCTCCGAGACAGACACACCTGTTCCAGTTTCACTGCAATCGACTCCATGGAAAGATCGACGAGATAGTCGACTATATGATCCATAAGCATCTGGCAATTGCTGCGATACAGGAAACCAAGTTGACCACCCGCTCGGATCCTCTGTCCGCAAGGATCACGAGCGAGACCTTGGTGGAAACTGGGCATTCATTCTACGTAACACCCTAGAATGTCAGCAACCCTAGAATGTCAACCAGCCAGGCAATGCCGAGCCCTGATAAAGGTGCGCTACTCACAAGCCAAAACCGCTAACTTTTGGGCGACTTTAATACGCACCACGATCTCTCCAGACTCTCCAAACGATCGTAGAGGTATGGAGCTTGCGGAGAC